TAATGAGAGTGATTTTTTTTTTTTAATTGGGAAAATAAGGAAAAGCTGATCCGTTTAGGTAACACAGGGGGTGTGCTTTGGTAAACAAGGCTGACCAAGCGGTTCCCGGTTTGTTTCCGATTTTCTGCTGGCAAAAGCTGACAAGCCGCCCTGGGTCAGGCCAGGCTTTGCCCTGGGGCGGCCCTGGAGTATTCCCACTTTACAGAGATGGCAATGCAAAGATTTGAGGTCAAGTGTTATGCTTTGAGTATTCAACCTGAGGTTTGCAGGAGGTTTGACTACTCCAAGTGCTCCATGTTAGATAGCATGTCCTATACTTCAGCATAGTTCCTGTTGAATTCAGTGACAGGTGTAGTATCTCAGCAGTTCTGCAAAAAGGCAAGACTTAATATCTGACATCTGACCTTAATATCTTAACATCTGACTTTGTGAAGTGTTGGGCTTAAGTGACTTGTCTACTGGGACACCGTAACTCTGGACACCAGTTCAGCTGTCCTAATCTCAACATTCCTACCCAGAGGAGTCCTGACCCTACAAGGGCTTCTTCGTATTAATTTAAGATCCTGACAGTCTCTTCGGCCACCCCGGGCTGCTCCGGTGGGACCCCTGCACCGGAGAGCGTCCCTGCGAGCTCCCCGCCTCCCAACCCTCGGCAGCCAGGGCTGAGTCTCCTGCCGGTGCGTCGGAGCCAGACACTGCCAGTTTGCTCCAGCTCCCGCTCCAGCAGACCCGGGGCAGCTCAGCTTCGGCGTGCTGATAAGGGATCTCCCGGCTGGCCAGAGCTGCGGGTTTCTCGCTTGCTTCCTTGTCCTGGCCCATCTCGGCAGATGAGATTGTTCTTCCCTTTTCCCTGGAGCCGGGCCCGCGCTCCGATGCTCCCAGGCTGGTCTCCCAGCGGGCTGCGCAGGGGCCCAGCACTGGGCCGAAGGCACCAGGCTGAATCCTTTATCATCCTCCCAGCCCCAAATCAAGGACAGGCTCCCTGGGGAGGGGGGAAAACCAGCGCAGGGTGGACACCGTGGCTGCCCTCACCAGGAGCAGAATGCCTGCCCCACCGGGCAGCTGGGCTGGGAAAGCCGGGGCAGAGAACGGGCGCGCTCGTTGCAGCAGTGAGCCCGTGCCATGGCAGCCAGGGGCTGCAGGCAGGGGTACCCATGAGTGCCGTGCCCACCTGGCCCCCAGTGGGGACCACCACAGGCGCCCCTGCTGCCTCCCTGCATTGGCCAGCGCTGGAGGAGGATCTTGCTGAGGCCTATCGGAGCCCTGGCCAGATGCCAGACAAGACCGGCGGGCGGGCGGGGTGGCTCCCTAAATTGGGCTCCCCACTGCACTGCCCTTAAAGGAGAAGAAGCCCCCAGCAGGCGGGCCACACCCCCCCCCCCCCTTCCAGGCAATTAGGGATCTCCTTAATGAGGGCTGGATTTCCCGGGGGTTATAGGGCACTGCACGCAGCCAAGGGGAAGTCATCCGCAAGCCCGAGCAGAGGGAAGCATGCTGGGCCAGAGCGGCCAGGATCCCCTTGCAGCGGGCACTCACATGCCACCGTCCTGCATGGAGACTGCCTCATCTGCCAGTGCTGGGGGGGCATGGGAGCAGCAGATGTGGGACCCCATCTCTATGCAGGATTGATGACTGGAGAGCGCAGGACTGGAGGACATGCACCCTTCCCAAAGAGCATGGGACAAGCATACATGGCACCCCATCTCCATCCTAGCATCCCTCCTGGAGACTGTGGGGCACGTGGGCATGGCACCTCATCTCCATGCTTGCATCTCTCCTGGAGAACATGGGACATGTAGTCATGGTACCCCCAGCTCCATCCCAGCATCCCTCCTGGAGAACATGGGGCATGTGGACATGGTCCATCTCCACGCCAGTATCCCTTCTGAAGAACAGGAGACGACACGTGGACCCAGTCCCTCATCTGCATCCCGCCATCTCTCCTGGAGCCCATGGGACACGTAGCCATGGTCTCCCTGTCACCCGCAGTGCCGGCAGGCTCCGTGCTCCCCCCAGGGCAACGGAGCATGCTAGGGGTGCCAAGCCAGGGTGCCTTCCCGGCACGCACTGCTTCCTGCCAGGGGCCCTGGCCGTGGGGCTGGCATGCAGGACTGAGCCCCCGGCCT